TTGACAACATTTTCCAGAAAACTTTCTAAGCACACTTACTTTCCACAGGTTAACACGCTATCAGTTTCTTATGGTAACTTTCATAATTATATGAATTCATATAAACAGCACATATAACACATTTCAGTATCTTTCTGCTTACAGCGAAGTAGTTTGACTCTTGAGAATCAATTGCCTCTATGTATGGAGCCATTTCCCATCCTGAACAGGAGCAAAACACGTTCAAGACAATAACCATAGATTAAATTTAAGGATGTAGAAATTTAAAGGGAAAAAAAACTGAGTTAATGAATTCTCAAAAGTAAAGATAAAGCAGCTTCCTGCACACCAGACACACTTCATAAGAAGAAGCCAATAAGAATAAGTACGATGGAGGACAACCAGACCATGCCAAAGCAAGGAACAATTTTGAATGATAAAAGAACACCAAAAGAATATATCCTGAACTATCATATTTTATTAAAAAAGTGTTGTTTCCTAAACTACTCTTCCTGTTTAATAAAATACTTGAAATATCAGAATTTTTCCTCTTTTTTCAGTTAGGTGATACTGGATTTTCCAATTGTAACCTCAAAACACTTGGAAGTCCATAAATCCTAAAGCCACACAAGTTTACCATTTTTAATGGACAAAAAACTTCCTGATTGTTTGAAGATTTAATCAGAATGTTTCAGTAATTTTCTAACTTTATTTAATAGAATAAGAAAAAAATGCATATCAAGACATATTCCTCTTTCTTACTTTCTCAATCAAGCAACTTACTTTGCATTTCATCATGCCGGGTGCTCTTTTCAATCAGAAGACACCGTGCCAGGATTACTGCTTGTTGGATTGGCTTTAGAGGGACACTACCACCACCAAGGTTGCAGAGTCCTCTTGCTCCAGATTCATCAATATTCTCTAACAATTTTGGGGTAAAATATACATCAGATGCATCATCACCACCAGATTTATGTGTCTGGGGACAAGAGTTTCCAGAGGGGCAGTAATCATCCCTGTTTGATGAGTTTGTGTTAGCAACCAGTACCATTTGTGCCTTTGGTTCTACCTATATCCAGAAGTAACTCTCAACTCAGAAGAAAGAAATCCCCAAATAATGCACAAAAGATATAGTCAAAAGTTTACCTGATGAACTGTGCGGAAACCTAGGACCCCAGTAACAGACAGCTGAAGCCCACTTGCTACTTCAGCTGACTCAAAGTGTAGCCTGAAGTCATGAAAGAATTTCAACAACTTGAAAAATGAGCGGAGAATAATTAAGACTATGTTATCAGCTTATCAGTTTTAGGATAAAGACGAGCATTGGACATATACCCAAGTAACATAATAATAGCCTAAGAACAAGTTATTTGAGAAGGACTATCTTTGCTCTATATTGGCTTGTGATTAGAAAGGAATTCCAAGCTTCCTGTTCTAGAATAAACATACACATTGAACATATAGACAGATAAAGATAATCATAGCCATAATTGGAAAGGGGTTATTTGCTCAGTTGTGCCTGTGATTGGAAAAGAATGTCAAGCTTCCAATTCTTTCTGGTACTGTGGGATATGTCAACTTTTTTATCTCTTTAAGCAAAGGCTCATGATCCTTTTGGGATTTATTTAGCTATTTTGCAATGAGATTGGCTTTCTATTAATTTTCTTCACCGTATTAATTTTCTTCATCATTTCCATCGTTTGTTTTTTGTTGTTTTTTGGCGCGCAGGAGGATTCCTCTTGACTTTCTTCTAGTCCCTTCTTAATGATACTGGTTCAACTTTCCCAAAGATATCCGCAAGGAAATTTGGATCTCAAACACACTCATGGACACCACATACAAAGAAAAACACTTACAGAAATGACATGAGGATTCTGAAGGAAAATTATATGCTGCAAACGACCGCTAGATAAAACTCATTAATTTGACTAAACTAGCAGATTCATTTCTCATTCCTCAAACATGCAGATTGATGCATGGAATGAAGAAGACTCTATGATAATGGTATGGCTCTGGAACTCAATGTCAACTGAAAGCAACCTCTGTATGTTGCTTCCCACTGCTAAAGAGGTATGGGAAGCAATTAGAGAAACCAATTTCAGGGTGAAGGATGCTGCTAAGCTATATGACCTTATGGTCAAAACATGGTCCACAAGGCAGGGAAACAGCTTAGTGACTGAATACTTTAACCTATTGAAAAATTGGTGGCAGAAATTAGACCAGCACTGCTGCCTTACTATAGACTGCAGCAAGGATTCAGCTCGCCTAAAACAATTGATAAAAGACAATCGTGCCCACCAATTCTTAATCGGCCTCAATCTGAAATTTAATCAAGTAGGGGTCAATATTTTGGGCAAAGAAGATCTACCATCTCTAAATGACTCTATATTGTAGCAGCAGAGAAAAGCATGAAAGCGGTCATGCTAGAACCCCATTCCAATGACAACTCGACCCTAATCTCCAAAAGCTTCAAGGCATGCCCACTGTGAAAGAACTGAGTCCCACTAAAATCTCAGTTTTTGGTGGAGAAAACAAAGACTAAATAACCCAGCATTCCAGACCGTCATCGGCAAGCTTGGGATGGACAATATATACTCCCAAACTTGAGGGTAAGTGTTGAAAAATGTATTATATATAATTAATCCAAGAGAATTAGGTTAAGAGGCATTATGGTAAAATAATCTTATATAATTAATTGTCAGTTTCCTTTCTTATTCTAAAAAACTTATATATATAGGGTTATGATATTCAATAAAATACAAACTCAATTATTCTTGACAGAAAGCGCAGGTAAAATCTAAAAATGAACAGCCGACTTCTGAAATTGTGAATTAGATATATTGTGATCTCTATAGAGTTATTTGAAAAAATAGTTAGTATTCTTTCAAAAAAATAATATCAAAAGATTATGCGGTAAGGCAGACTCTATAAAGAGGCCTAAGAACCTTCTCTTGGACGCATGCAAAACTTTCATAAGGATATAGGAAACAAGTGCCTCTCCAGCTAAGAAGATGCATATAGATGCAACTTATAGAACTTACATGATATCAACCAACTCAATTCCATAATAAAATGATGTGATGACAAGATGGGAATAGCTACTAGATTAGATCCAAGAAATGGATACAGACAAATATCCAAAGATGACAACAACATTGACAGTTGAAAGTAAAACCTCATTAGTTTCTCTTAGTGATATCTTATTTTGGGGAAAAGAAAAAGAAAGAAACCCCCGAAAAACGAAGAAAATGATAACGATTCTCTTTCTGCAACCCCAGCTAAAACCCCACATTCACCAATACAGTTTTCTGATGAAATATTTTTTTTGAAGTTTTCTGATGAAATATACAAAAGCCATTATTCTCAAGTGACATGTTCAGATAAGGTTTACATCCTTTCAACCATAATTCATGTTGATATAAATAAGGCCATCTATATATGAACTTATCAATTGTACCTCACCTGCAAGAATCAATCCTCCCATAAATGTGCTCAATTACTCCTGCTTCCAGATGGGCGATTGAGACAATAGAAAACACTTCTTCATCTTTCAACTGGGAACCCCAATAATTTGTTACTTTTTCCAAAGAGCCAAAATGATGTAAAGTTTCACTCATAAACACTTGCAGTAAATCAAATAAAGAAGAAGAACGCTCGTCCAGAACTCTCTGATGAAGAAATAGGAGCCTAACAAGCCACCATGAAATACTTCTGACTCCGTATGTGGATGAGATAGTTGTTTCAAATAACACATCTCTCATCTTCATGAGCAACATTTTAGCAAAAATAATATACTACAAAAGGGAAAAAAAGGAACTCATTAGACAAAACACGAGATAAAGAAAACTGGTAAACGTTAAAAAGAATTAGCAAAATTAAAGGAAAAATAGCATAAACAAGTGGTAGTAGACCCCAATATAAATAATAAGCAAGCTATAAATCAATTTTACATAGAAAAATAAATGTCGAAGTCCATTTAAATGAAATCGATTACCATATCAGTAAATTTGTGCACATAATACATAAACTTCTCTTTTTTAGGGGAAAATGTATAAATTATATTAACAAACTAGCAAGAGGTTGCAACCTCTATTACAAAAACCTTAAAAATTGATCAATATATTTTTTAGGTCTTCACCAAGTCCACGTCAAAAGAAAGAAGGCTATATTATAAAAAAGAACCATGTCCAAAACCATAAATCTCTAATTCTAGTAAAAGGACTAAGCTCCAAAAGCCTCATAGTCTTTGTTTCCAGATTACATGGCTGCCAGGTGATAGAAGAGAAGTTTTCTTCACGCACTTGTCACCCCGAATACCTTGGCATGCCCGAATCTCTTTAGCCACAAAACGTGCCATCACCCACCTCAGCCCAAAGAACTCCAAGGTAGCATGCCAGAGACAGGAGGAGAAGGTCTACAACAAAGAAGATGATCCAGTGTCTTAGCCATCCTCTTGCACAAGAAGCATCCATAACCAGAATCCTCTCCCTTTGGAGATTGTCAATAGTGCGACTCTATGAGGCAGATTAAGCTCGAATAGACCTTCAGGGATAGTCACTTTTGACATTCCAGGAAAGTCACAACTGAATGAGCCAAACTGAGCAAGATGCATATAGAAAGAAACCTTTCACAAGAAAGAGCCACTAGCGTATAACTTCTGAACGGTTTCCCATCAGGTTGGGCGCTGAGGCAGGTAAGGTGCTGACAAAGACTATCATGTTCTTTCAATCTCTAAATTATTCAGTTTCCTCACCCATAGCCCACTTCCCTGGGCTATAAGAAAAAGAGAAGACCAATTTTTATTTCCAAAAGAAAAAAGAACACAAACATAGAGATTTTTTTATTTGAGATAGAGATATTTATAGGTATTTAAATCTTCTTAAGGAAGGCACATCCCCATTCATGTAATATGTTGCGTGTCATATATCTTGTATGACAACAGGCATGTATACAACTCTACGAACCAATCCCACACATATACACTAACAAAAACAACAATGATCGCACCAACACCGACAAGAAAAATCTTCTTTTAGTCCATGAGATTGTTTTAATTGTTTTTTTAGATAAAAAATAAATAGATTGTATTAACAAAAATATGTGATCAAAGTGATTTACTTTTTCTGTTAAAATTTGATCCAAATACTTGAACACCATCTTGAAGTCTATTTGCAAGAATATTGTTGCTCTGGCATCTGCAAAAGGGATTTGCTCCTCTTCTGACAGTGTTGAACACTAGAACAAGTTGGTTTGAATTATTCAGGCCCTTCCAGACTGCTTATCTAAAGTTTATGTAGCTTCACAAGGTTCTTTATGCACTCCTGTTGTTTGAAAACTTATTTTTGCCAACTTGCAAATCTTTAACTTTTAGATCCAGTTGAACACTAGAACAAGTTCTTGATATTATGATGGCTCGTGAAAATGAAGGTTGTTTTTTTTTTGCATATGTTGTAACTCTTTTTCAGCACTTGAGCAAACAGTTCAGTCCCAGTGCATTTCAGCCTGTTAGTAAGTAAGTAGTCTTATCACTATAACTTGCAGTAGTGAGAATTTAATGCCTAAAAAAATAGACGGACTTATTGGAACTACCAACAGAGTCGCACTATGTGCCACATACATTAGATACATCAAAGTAAAATGTATTTCGTGCCTATTGTTATGAAGATATTTATAAAGATGAGATTATCTGTAACATAA